TTACCTTTCAATTTTTTCTTTAAAAGGAGTGAGAGTTTACAAGGGATTTAAATGCTTTATAGACAAGGGAAACAACTTGTACTAGAGCCAATTTATTTATCATTATCTTTTCATCTTCCCTTTTTCATCTTTCTCCTCTTCATCCTTTTCATCTTTCTGGTCTTCCTCTTTCTTCTATTTCTTGTTGCTGTTTTTTTGTTTTTGTTTTTTGGTTTTTTTTTTTTTTTCAGCCTTAATGACTACCTCTTTTGCTGCATCAGGCATTCCTTAGCTCAGTGTGCGACAATGTCCTTCTCACATTATTCTTTCAGTTTCACGGCCCTCTTTTTGTAAGGCTGCTTGTCATCTGAAGCAGTGTTATTTCCTATCTCTCCCCATTTCTTTACACCAATGGATAGGCTGAAATGTTCTCCTTTGATTTGAGGGCAATATTCAGAACAGAACAGGAAAAAGGCTGAAGGTGGCCTCTTGGGTGCATTATGATCCTTGAACTTTTTTTCCCCCTTTTAGGAAGGAGACAGGTTTTCATTTCCTTTTCACAATAGGTTTTGTCTGTCATTGCCATGTATATCAAAATAAAGAGATAGGAATCTCTTTAGCAGAGAGGGTCTTCCACTTCTCTGAGTGCTTCTTTGAAAACTCCGAGAAACTGACTGAAACATTTGGGTGCTCTGGCAAATTTGCTCAAATAATGTATATGATGACATTTTGTCTCTTGGCTTCTTAGGATCTCCTTTGCTTATGATTGGTTATTTTTCCTCAGTGAGGCACAGTCATCTAGTGCCTGTCCAGCTCTCACTTGTTCTAGCACCTTCTCTATGGATCTCAATGTACAGCAATGGCTCTTTAACTTAAAATAAATAAATAAAACTGTTTATCATGAGAAACAAGGAGACGAACCAAAACCTGACGGACATCCTCCACAAAAACTGACTAGTACCCTCTAGAAATGTCAATATTATGAAAGATAAAGGCTGAGGTCCTAGTCCAGATTAAAGAACACTAAAGAGGCATCCTAGTCGGGCACGGTGGCTCAAGCCTGTAATCCCAGCACTTTGGGAGGCTGAGGCGGGTGGATCACGAGGTCAAGAGATCGAGACCATCCTGGTCCACATGGTGAAACCCCGTCTCTACTAAAAATACAAAAAAATTAGCTGGGCATGGTGGCGCGCGCCTGTAATCCCAGCTACTCAGGAGGCTGAGGCAGGAGAATTGCCTGAACCCAGGAGGCGGAGGTTGCGGTGAGCCGAGATCGCGCCATTGCACTCCAGCCTGGGTAACAAGAGTGAAATTCCGTCTCAAAAAAAAAAAAAAAAAAAAAATGAAGTTTAGGGGCCAGGCGCGGTGGCTCAAGCCTATAATCCCAGCACTTTGGGAGGCCGAGGCAGGTGGATCACGAGGTCAAGAGATTGAGACCATCCTGGTCCACATGGTGAAACCCCGTCTCTACTAAAAATACAAAAAAATTAGCTGGGCATGGTGGCACATGCCTGTAATCCCAGCTACTCAGGAGGCTGAGACAGGAGAATTGCCTGAACCCAGGAGGCGGAGGTTATGGTGAGCCGAGATCGCGCCATTGCACTCCAGCCTGGGTAACAAGAGCGAAACTCCGTCTCAAAAAAAAAAAAAAAAAAAAAGAGGCATCCTAGATTGGATCGTAAGTCATACACACACACAACATGTGCTAAACACCATGTTAGCCCTGGGAGGCATTAAGTCAGCCCCAACTCACTGGCCAGGATGTTATAGATGGTAGAAATACCCTAGACTTCCTTCTTGCTGGCCATGGTAGAGTTTGCACAATAGTTAATATTGTTAACAACAGTTAACAGATAATAATCTTTTGCACCTAGATTATTGCCTCAGGTGAAGTGGAATAGTCAATACTGAAACTTAAAGAGAAAGCTGCCTGGCTTTCTAAGGCAGACATTGATGGTTTAGACTATTTGTTCCACTGGTTGGGTCCAGTACCCTGGGAAGACAAGGCTGAAGTGAGTGTTGCAGATTGGCCTCATGATGCTGCTTGAAGTCCTATTAATATTCATTTTAATTAAATGCCACATTAGACAAATCGAATGGATTTAGTTTCAGGTCATGTCAGTTGGATTAATCAGAATTACTAACAGAGTAGCATATTTGTGGGAAAATTCAGTCAAGAAGGTGTAGAAAGTGGTAGATGTGGTTGAGAGACAAATCTCCATGGGTCTCTCTGTCTTTTCATATATTGGGACAGCTTCTATTATAGACCATCTTTTCAAGGATATTTGTGGAGTAAACAGCTTGTAAAACAGGGATAGTGTTTCCAAAGCAAAGGAATTATTCTGTTTGCTATCCAAGATAATAAAGCCAATGTCTCCTCTAAGGCAAAGCTTGGGAAGATTTACTATCAGCCCCCAGAAGATTTGGAATTCCTTAAGCTCAGTGTATACCAATTGTGATACAAACTGGTATACATAGCAGTTACCTGGGCCCACCTGCACATCATCTCTGTGGGACCAGGAAGTAAAAGAACTGAAACAAATGAAGTTCATGCTCCTTGCTGTACCAAGAATAATAAAATCCTTTATTTTTCTGATCTAGGAGTTTCATGTCTTCTGACAACATCTGTGAAACTGTGGCAGGATAACTTGCTATCCTGCAGGTAGAATAAAATCTCAGACCCCTCACATTTTTTGACAAAACTCATATTAATGGAGAGAAATACCATATTTCTCAATTGAATGATATCGGTTCTCCTCAAATTGATCTACTGATTCGATGCAATCCCAATCGATATCCTAGCAACATTTTCATGAAAACTGACAAAGTAATACTAAAATACATAGAGAAATGTAAAGTACTTAGAATAGCCAAAACAATCTTGGTAAAGAACAAAGTTGGAGGATTTATGCATGCTCTGATCTTAAGACTTACTATAAAGTATAGTTATCAAGATATTGTCATAGTTTTATAAAATCAGACAAATAGATCAATGGATCATAAATAAAAAGTCCAGAAATTACTAGACAAACATATGGCCAGATGCATTTTGACAGAGAAACCAGTAAAATTCAATGAGGAGAGACAAGGCTTTTCAACAAATAACAGTGGATCTACTGAATATCCATATTTTAAAAATTAATGATTCATATCTTACACTAAAGACTCATATCTTACATAAAGACCCAAAACTACAAATCTCCTATAAGAAAACATAGATGAATGTGTTTGAGACCTTGAGATAGGCAAATTCCTTTGAAAAAAATGTAAAGGCACTAATTATAAAAGAAAAATGTTAGTAAACAAACTTTACCAAAATTGAAAATGTCTGTTCATCAAAAGATAACATTGAAAAAAATTAAAATGCAAGCCACATACTGGGAAAAAATATTTGCAACATGTATTTCTTTCTTTTGTTTTTTTAATTGCATTTTAGGTTTTGGGATACACGTGAAGAACATGCAAGATTGTTGCATAGGTACACACATGGCAGTGTGGTTTTCTGCCTTCCGTCCCCTAGCCTGTATCTGTCATTTGCAACATGTATTTCTAACACAGGACTTGTATCCATACTGTATAAAGAACTGCTACAATGCAAGACTTAAAAGACAACCAATTTCTTTAAAAAGGTAAAAGACTTCAATAGATGCTTCACAAAAGAAGATTTACAAGTGGTCAATAAACACATGAAAAGATGTTCACCACTACTAATCATCAGAGAAATGCAAGTTAAAATTAGAATTAGATACTCTTTTATACTCATTAGAAATACCAAAGTTAAATACTAAAAATAACAAAATGCTAGAGATAACACAAAGACACTAGATACTGATGGAAGCTTAAAATGGTACAAACCACAAGGGAAAAAATGTTTAGCAGAATCTTACTGTGTTAAACCTACATTTACACTGTTACTTAGCAATTCCATTCACGTTTACCCCCTTAAATGAAAAATATGCCAACAAAAGAACTTGTGCAAAAATATACAGCTTTATTTATAACACAAAATTGGAAACATTATAAATATCTATCAACAGCAAAATGGCTAAACAAATTGTGATGTACTCATACAATGGAATATTGCTTGCTAATAAAAAGGTACAAGCCAATAATACCAACAAGGCCGAGCATGGTGGCTCATGCCTGTATTCCCAGCACTCTGGGAGGCCAAGGCAGGCAAATTACTTGAGGCCAGGAGTTCGAGGCCAGCCTGGAAAACACAGTGAAACCACATCTCTACTAAAAATAGAAAAATTAGCCAAGTGTGGTGCTGCATTCCAGTAATCCCAGCTACCTGGGAGACTGAGTCACAAGAATTGCTTGAACCCAGTAGGTGGAGGTTGCAGTAAACTGAGATCACATATCACTTAACACTCCTACCTGGAAAACAGAGCGAGACTCTGTCTCAAAAAATATTAATACTAATAATGACAATACAAACAAAAATACTAAAAAATCTCAAAAACATTATCTTGGATAAAAGAAGCCAGAGACAACTGAATACATATTGTATAATCTCATTTACACGAAGTTTAATACAGGCAAAATTAACATATAAAGGTAGAAATCAAAGTAACATGCCTGAGAGGAGTATAGAAATAGACTGGAAAAGTGCTCAAGGGAACTTGTTAAGGTGACGGAATGTTCTATATCTTGTTTGGGATGTGTCTTACATGGGTTTACATATTTGTCAAAACTCATGAAACTTTACACTAAAATCTGTAGAATTTATTGTGTGTAATTCTCAATTCAAAATGGAGAAAAAAATACAAGATAGATTTTATTTAAATCTAATTTACTCCCAGCATGTTCAAGCGCCGATATCCAAATTAAATAAATTGAATTTGAGAGTATTTACTCTATTTCCACAGGTGTTGAGAGAGATACCCTCTCAAACTTTACACAGCTACCAAGGCAACAATGCCAGGAAAACTATTAATCAAGGTATGATAGCGCCTGTTTGCAATCAGGAGAAGAAAGCAAAGAACACTCTGGATTATAAAAGCAGATGAGACCTACCTACTACACCTAGTCAGACACAATGTTGGCGCTCTTGGTTCTGGCGACTGTGGCCCTGGCATCTGCTCATCATGGTGGTGAGCACTTCGAAGGGTAAGTAAGCCATCCTTAAGGAGCAAGTCCTTCTTCCTTGCTAGCCCCAAAATTTGGACATATCACTCAATTTAAATTTTCTGTGCTTCTACTATCTCACCATTCAGGGAGAAGGTGTTCCGTGTCAATGTTGCAGATGAAAATCAAATTAACATAATTCGCAAGTTGGCCAGCACCACCCAGGTAAGTAACGATTTAGATTTAGTTCACATATAATTTAAAATCTTAGATTTCACTGTGATTCCAACAATGGAAAAAAATAACATGAAATGTTAACTATAGCACTTTTGATAGCAAGAAATAAAACCTTGGAAAACATTTAGTGCCATAACATCTTCTTTTTCTGCCTAAATTAGATTGCCATAAGCCCTGTAGTATTATAAATCCATGGTAACTTTTAAAAGAGCTGACAGTGTGACAACTAGATGAGTTGGAACTGTCACGAAGGTCATAGAACATCTAATGTGCAGTCACTTTCCTTCTAAGGCAAAAGAGAAAAATGATCAACTTGGATATTACTGAAAAACTGGGCTTTTGTCCAACTTCAAATTCATTTCCACATCCCATGTATCATCTGTCCTCTTTGATTTTCTTTCATTCCAAATCAAACAGCTTGTGTTTTCATGACCTTGATTCAGGTCCCCTTAATGATATGACGTTGAGGGGGAAAAGGAAGGTAAAAAGCTGTGAGTGATTTTCATACTTTTCTTTTGCTTTCAAAAAACTGACTTTTAATCTACTATGTATGAGGTGAGAACTGACATTTTAAACTGTATATACAATGTGGCAGGAAGCTATTGCTGACCACAACTGCAGCAATTCCACGTGGGCCAATGCTGTTTCTTCATAAATTTATAAACTAAAATAATCTGCTAGCACACACTCACACACACACACACACACACACACACACACACACATAGTCATTTTGTAGCTTTTAAGGCATATAGGAAGAAAGAAGGTGGAGAGTGTCATAATCACAGACTCAGAAGTTAAAAATTGAAAGAAATATAAATTATCTATTCCAGCGTCCCACTCAAATCTGAAATTTTCTTCTTGGAAATAGCATCCCTGGTTGCTACCCCTAATAAAACCTTGAGTACTTTGAGGAATAGTTTGTATATGACTTGTTGGAATAGCCAACTTGCCTTACAAATCATTCCAACTGTTTTCTTCCTTATTCTGAGCTGAAGGCTTCTTTCTCTAACTTTGACCCATTGGGCTTAAGTATTGTGTTACCTCTAAGATTTATCTTTTTCAGGCTTTCCATAATTTTTCTTAGCACTGTTTTATGGACTCTTGATCATTCTGCTCAGATCTAGATACAGCTCAGTCTTCTGTCTATATTTCTTTTTTTAAATGTAGCTACCAGAATTGACAATGGGCCTCCAGGTGTGCTCTGATTAATACATACTACAGGGCCATTACTTGCCTCCGTTTGTAAAGCAGACATTTATTAATGGTGCCCAAGATTCTTTTTAGCATCTTGAGCAGTCATAGAACACTATTAGATTATATTAAACCTGTGTTCAATCAAAACCATTAGGTAACTTTTTTCCTCACATGAATCACACTCAAACAGGGTATCCCTCCTTCTGTGCTTACCTAATTGACTTTTTTCACCTAAATGTAGGATTTTAGATTTGCAGTTTTAAGATGTGTCTTGCCAGCCTGTTTTCAGCATGTTGAGATCTTTTAGAAAACTAATTCAGCCATCCAGGGAAATAATTCTTCCCCCTAACTTTGTATCTCAGCAAGTTTGATAAGCATATCTTTTCGACTTTTATCCTTGTCACTGATAAAATATTAAGTAGGTCAGGAGTCACAGAATTACAGGCTTTTTTCATGTTTCACTCATTCAGTTCATATTTATCCTGAATCTCTGATGTGCCAGACAACATAGTGTTAAGCACTGAAGTGATTCATTAACCTATTCTCCTTGCATAAGTTTACTCAACTACCCAAGCTAGGGGGTTGTTACCTAGAGATAACTCTGCCTGATGCTTTCTGGTTTATAAAGAAAGATATCAATGCAGAAACTTCATTGAATAAATGCTTTACTAAGATCAAGATTCAACATTCTACCAGGTTAGTGGTCTCACCCAAATATAAGTTGAAGTTAATTGGGCCTGACTTCTTGCTTTAAGCCATGCTGGCTCCCAGAGACCACAGCTTCCTTTTCTGAGCATTCACAATCCATCTGCTTCCAGTTTACTCAGCACCTTTGCCAGAACCCATGCCAGGCCCCAGCAGCTCCCGCTTCTGGGCTTCACCTGTTTTCTTGTTTATAAAATCTAAAATTTGCCCCCTCTACTCCCCAGTGAGCCCTTCAAGCTCTGATTCTTCCAAGATTGCTGAGAAAGTTCTGCAATCACATCTGCAGTATTTTTTTAATTACCTAAAATTCAGCATTTCATAGTGGTCAAGAGCAGAGAGTCTGGACTGACTGCCTGGGTTCAATTCCTAGCCCTACCACTTGTTAGCTGAACTAGGATACCTGAGTCTCAACTTCCTTACTTGTAAAATGAAGATAATAATACAATTTACCTTGTGATATGTAAATAGTATTAATATAGGTAAAACACTTCGAAAGACTGTTGTGAGATGTAAATGAATTAATGTAGGTAAAGCACTTCAAAATAAATAGTAAGAACTATATGAATTTGCTGTTTTTACTATCATTAGGTCTGGGATTTTGAGTATAATTTACATGGCTAGTATAATCAATCACTTATGTCCTCATCTACCTTGGGCTTCAAAGTTCTCTTTTCAAAGAAGGTATTTCTGCTTAAATCATAACGTGAAAAATTTTTTACTTAATCCTGGTGGTAATTTCATCTCTCAGTGGTAACAGAATAAACAAGCAATAGTGAACTCCTTCTTGGAAAAGACAGAAGCCAAACAAGAGTTAAATAGAGCTTCTTTCTTCTCGCTGCAAACATCATGCTTTAGCTCCAAGCAGTTGGACACATATTTCGTCTTTATTCTTTTTTTTTTTTTTTTCCAACATGACTGAAATGAGATTTTCATTCTCCTTAGTGATTATAGGAACAGCATATTCTGGGCTGTAGCCTTCCTGATAAGATCATTACAAGGGCATCCAGTATTCATCCTTGGCCATGCGTCCTTCCTCTCAGCTTTTGAACATGTCCTTTTAAAAGCTGAATATATTGGACAGATCTGTGCCCACACTGTACTCCAGCAGCCTTTCTTTTCTCATCTATAATTGAATAGTAAGGATTTTATTTTATCTCCTCACGATCAGGGTTGTGCTTGTTCCTTTATTGAAGGAATTCTCCATAAAACTCATTCACTTTTCTCTGGACTGTCTTGAAGTCTGTGTTTCTCAAATTTAAGGTGCATTTTTCTCTATGCCTAGAGTAACATGATTACTGTCTTCCAATGTTCCTGTCATTCCTACTGTACCAATAAGTTCCTCCCTGCTGTCTGGAATTAGGCCTTGAGTAGTAGTGGCGTCCTTTTCCAACAAGAAAGGAGAATTTCACCAAGATAAATGCAAAGTCTATCAGATGCTTGACTTCTAGTCAAATGCAATGTGAAGAAACAAATTCATGCAAATTTCTGAAGAAACAAAGATCCCCAACACCAATATTTATTCTTTTATGGCCAATCTTATTCCCAGAAAAATTTAAGGTTGACATGCTACTTTATCTTGCTTTTGGGCTAGTTTTCTGATATATTTTAGGAAGGATTCTTTAGTTGTTAGGCAGCTGGCTGCTTAAGTTGATATTCTTATAATGTTATCATTTAAAGAGCTCTCTTAATCTTCCAATAATTGTTCTGTACGGTTCTTTGTCACATTCATAACTGCATAACTTCAGTTTTCCAACTTCATAATGTATAATTTAATTCCCTGTGTCTACATCCTATATTTACTCCATGTTTATATTTCAGACATACATCTCATTCACAAGGTCTTAGTCACTTTGAAATTTATATTTATCTCCTTGTGTTATTAATTTGAGTTTACGGCCTCTGTTCGTATTTGGTGCATTGAGCTATGAAGCTATAGCATTGCTCCTGATTTCCAGCCATGTTTCTCCTAGGAAGTGCCAGAGACTAACTCCAGTATACTAGGTCTATGTCACACATGCAGCACTCCAGAGTGTTGTATGTTGACAGATTTGTTAACTAGTTTTCTCCATGTCAAACTGAAATTTTTAAGCAACTTCAGGTTAAGTCTGTTTTTGTCAAACATGTTTATGAGATTTATTTGCCCCCTTTTAAGGAATCCATAATTCTCACACTGTAATCTTAAAAATAACACTTTCTCTACATATGTATACTCTTCTCATACTTGGCAGAGCTAGGACCAATGGGTAAGAGCTTAGGAGGATACGGATGGCAATTTTCAGTTTAATATTAGAAATAAAACCATTCATAAGCAATTAAGCTGTTCTGAAGTGACACTAGATATACACAGGGTTCTGCTAGAACCACCACCAAGAATATCATGCAGGCATTTGATGCTTTGAGTGGAAAGCTAGAATCTTAATATAGGCTCTTCTAAAGCAGACCGTGAGACAAAGATTCAAGGGAAAGAAATTTATCTGGGAAGTGCAGGGAGCCCTGGTAAAGAAATGGGGAGCACTGCATAAAAGTAAAGGCAGCCAACAAAGGAAACACTGTTAAGCCAGCTACCACAGAGGACAACTGGAGGCAAACCCACAGGAGAACTCTAGGAACGTGTGCAAACAACATGCTTCAGAATTATTCCACCTGAGATGGGAGGGAGTTTGTGTATTTCAACATTCGCTTTTCAGGGTCCTGTCTACCTGGAGTTGATCATTTGGCTCTTCCCAGGTCTAGGGGAAAGAGCCCACAGGAACAGAGAGGCAGATATTACCAGGGGGAGTATACAAAGCACACTAAAAAGTTAGAGACACACTGTCAGGTCAGCTACAGATTACGTGTTTTGCCAATTCTCAACCTTGTCATCTATAATAAAGACATACCTCCCTCTCCCACCATACCATAAAATTACAAGGGTTTATTGGGAACACAAATTCAGTGCTAAGTTTCAAAAATAGGCTTTCTCTTATAATGTGCTTATCTTCATTGGCCTTCTCTCCACAATGTTGGCTAACTAGAAGTTGTCCCCAACACCTTGCTTTCTCTGTCCTTATCTTTGCATGCCTTTATACTTCCTCACTTCATTTAACCTCTCATCCTTGACTCACTAGGTCACCTTCTACAGCCAATCCTCATCCAAACATTGACGCTCCTTCCTTTCAATCCCTTTGTGACAACCACACTCACGCCTTTTTCTTCTAGAATGCCAATATCTATCTCTGCCTCCCATTGCTCTGACATTCCTTATGGGCCTGGCTCGTGAACTAGCACCCCTAGACTTCTACAATAGTTTAAAGCTTACTAGGACAGAATATAGGTTACTCGGTGCCCCACAAGTGTACCTGAAACTGAGATGTCTTAAAGTATTACTTAATCAGTTTCTGTTGCACAACCTCTAGGTCTGCCCAAACTCCCTTCCAAGTTTCCAAGCAGTGGTCCTAAATATCACCATCAGTCACATCTCTAGCCCAAAAGCAGTGCAGAAACATCCCAACAGAGATTGGCTGAGACACAGGGACAAAGAAAGACCCAACGTCAGGCTGATGTCAGACTTCTAAGCTTCCACTCAGCACAAGGAAGGAAGAGAAAAACAGACACCTACAAGATGCAGTATGTTCTGGCTAATAACCTCCACTGAAAAGTACTACTTAAAACCATACATCCACAGATTTTTAAAAACCGCTGTTTTGGGCTTCATATTCTCTAAAGTCTCCCCCATGAAGAAAAGGCCATGTTTGACTTGCCCACTAATGTCTTCCTAGTCTCAGACACAGAGCCTAGCATATTGTAAGTTCTCAACAATAGTTGATGAGTCAACTGAATAAATGAAAATGTCAGTAAATGACTGGATCCCCAAGAGCAATTTGTTTCCAGCCACAATGCCAATATACCCACTGTGAAAAGATACCATTTTTCTTCCTGATGTATCCACCACAGGTCAGGGACTCTCTTGGTTCTACACATTACTCTGACTTGCACAGAATTGAGTTCCAAGATAAACTCGTAAAATAAGTCAAGTAAAAAGCAAAACAGTAAGCTTAATCTCTCTCCACTAAATTTTGTACTTCAAGTTAATTAATCATCATTCATCTGGCACATAGATCCATTACCACAACACTGCTATCCCAAGAAGCTAGTGCTCCAGAAAATCAATAAATAGAAAAGAACAAGTTACAGAATACAACTAACTGGCATTATGGGAAATGATTATATGTTTTTCATGTTCATTGATAATCAATCAAGGTTATGTATTTATTCATAAGACTTTTATCAACATCTGACTGTTTGGTTCCAACCCTTGTTCACTCAAAGGAAGTATCTTCAAGAGATTTCATGGATTATTTGATTTTGAAAATAACTCAATTGAGTAGAGCAATAATGTGCTTGCAGATGATCATTCACTCATTGAATTATAGGTATCCAATATAGTTTATCTTGCCCTTGATTCAGATTGACTTCTGGAAGCCAGATTCTGTCACACAAATTAAACCTCACAGTACGGTTGACTTCCGTGTCAAAGCAGAAGATGTTGTCACTGTGGAGAATGTTTTAAAGCAGAATGAACTACAATACAAGTAAGTTTATATTTTATAAATATTAAGATTCTCTCCCATGCATGTTTTCATGTGAGCCTTTGAATAACTCTGGGAAGGTAGAAATGAGACCAACACCATGCCTTCTCCAGGGCCCCACGAACTAGGTAATGGCAGAGTTGGCCCTGGATTCCACGTCTTAAGAGTTCAGTTCTGATGGATTTTGTGTTTAGTTATTGCTCTAATGAAAATGGTTTTGATTCTTTAACCCCAAGTCTTCTGCCAGATATCTGACTTGCTCCATTTTACAAGCAATGTATAGAGTACAGGCCAAATCAATGGATACTCTATTATCAACTAGACGTAGTTTTAACCTCAAATCTTATCAGTTCTTTCCAGGGGATCAGCCAGACCTATTGTGAGCTATGAAGGGCTATTTATGCTTTTTTAGCATTAGGATAAATCTAGAGTCAGTCTTAATGGCCCTTCTGTCCTTTTTTCTCTGAAGTCCCACCACTATCTCTAATGGTAGGAGAAAGCACAGAGAGAAAGATGCAAAGAAAGGAAAGTGGTCCCCAAAGGACTAGAGTAGTTGGACTAAGTTGTTCCTGGCTCCCTCCCTGAATACTACTCTGGTCCATCTAGGTCTTTCACAACAAGAACATTTTCCTAAGTAACAGCAGTTGTCCGTTTGCTGATCAAACAAATCAATATTGAATGTCTCCATGTATCAAGTACCAATAAGGATAGATATGGCCTAACATCCTTTAGGGGAAAACAGACTTTAAATGTGGAATTGCATAGTATTTAACAGATGGTAAGAAGAGTAAAGTGCTAGAGTTCAGAAGAACAGACCAAGTCTAGGGGTCAGGGAAGGCTGTCCTAGGAAATGATGCTTCAGTTAAGAACTGAAAGATGAGTAGGAGTTAGTTAGCCAGACAAAGACAACAAAAAACCCTACTTTAGGCAGAGAACAGAACAAATGCTAAGGCTTAGAAGTGGGAAAGGCTGTACTAACCCGAGGACATTTGCACAACAGGGAAGGAAGAAATAAGGTCTGTAGTATAAAGCAAAGGTCCTCCTCCAGGGAGTGGATTAGGGAGGAGCAAAGACAAAGTCTCCGCCTCCCGTCCTGAACATTCAAACGTTTATCCAACAATCCTCCATCACAAACTCAAGTCTTCATCATGTTTTCAAAAAAGTTAAGCTCTATAATTTTAACGGAAATTTATCTTGTTTTTCATATCTTAAAAATGTAAAAAAATAATATCTGTGCCAGTGAAGCTGTCAGAACTGTCACGTATAAAATCTGTACCTCCATCAGGAGAAGTGGTAGAGCACAGTGCAACAACTAAAGGCTTTGGGAAAAAAACAAACCAGATTCTAATCCTGGCTTTGAACATTGCTGTGTGATTGTGGGTAATTTGCTCAACCTTTCTGAGCTTCAGCTTTCTTACCCATAAAATGAAGATATAATGCCTCTCTCAAAGGGTTGCTGTGAAAATAAAACAAAACTATATAAAAATAAATTACAACTGATATTATATTGCTGAGACTGCTGCTATGGTTTACTGTTGTATAAAAGAAGGAGAGTACACATTTTTTAAGAGTCAACAGAAACTGCTGTGTTTAACCCCATTATCATGCCTCACAAAGCTTAGCTATGTGCTTTCTGCCTGAGGAAAGTGTCAAAATGTGACCTTAAGAATTGACTGTCTTTTTAAAACAAAGATATAGCCTAGTAAGTCTCAAAATGTGATTAAGATTCATGTCTATAACATTTTGCTCTTTTTATTATACTGAAAAGGTCCTGTAAAATTCTAGTCTTTGGAGCCTTCAGTAGCATTGGAAAAGATGAGTTTCTTTGTAATTCTTTAAGAAAAACAAAGACCATAGATTAACCCTAGCTACCTGAATGATGTCTTCATTCTACTCTTATCACAAAACAGTGAAAGGTTTCTGATGAGAGCATTTCAATCTCTATTTATAATCACAAAAGGCACTTTCTTTTTTAGTGGTGAACTTTTTGGAAATTGTGTATTCATGTTGTCTCATCTAGAACATAGGACATCCCCTGAGGGCTAAGAGCTTGTTAATTTTTGCTTCTCTGTTCACTGCTTCGCACATTTGTAGCATATAATTTTCTAAATATTAAATAATAATAAGTCCCTGGAAATCCTGGAGAAGCATACCAGCAATATCCTTGCTGGGGTTGCAAGCAGTCCCGTGCATCCCATTATTACCTCACATGGTAACTAATTTGTATTTAGATGATTTCCTGCTGGCAAAAATTTGCAGTCCTGTTTGTATATAGCAAGAGCCATCCACTGCACAAGTTTCACCAATATAACTTCTCAGATTTTTTCAGTGTTTCCAACCCTCTTCACCAAGACCTGTATTATTTGGCAGCTTTAATCAGATCCTGAATTATCATAAGAAAAAATTCAAAATGTATGCAAAAAGAAAGATAACTGTAGTTTTAAATGCCAAAGTTTTAACCTTAGTAACAGAAAGACTGGGAATCAGATCATGCAAATTTCCAACTTATGGTTATAAGTCTAAGTTGACAGAATCTTAGGCAGCCTGCCCTCCTGGGAAGTCCTTGCTACAGATTGTAGAGAAGGTTGCCTTTACCCTATTTGACCCAGGGAGACTGATTGTTGCTAACACCTATATCACCATTTTCCTCCATATTTTTTTCAGAGGCATACAGGCACTTGTCCTAGGATAGCAATGGGCACGTAGTAATATTCTTCAATAGCAGTGGGCACAGAGTCCAGGCTAGTGATCAAATACTCCATTTTCCAGAAATCTGAAAGGGAGATAAAACTGAATCATGTCTTTCTTTACTTCTCAGACATTGTGTTCCTTGCTTTTTTGTGAGTCCCAGTTATCTAATTTGCTTGCATGGTTTTTTTTAAAAAAAGAAGTTGGATGGCACTATAAAAAAAGCATATAAAAGTGTAAAATACTACACATGCTTCTCTATTTTGGAGCTGTGAGGCATTGTTTTAATCTTCTAGAACAGAAGCTCATTATTTAGTAATAATATTTTGTAATATAGCTAAAGTAGTACTTTGTCCTAAATCCAATAAAATCAAATAACCACAGGGCTGGGAAAGATCATTTGAGGTCAGTCCCCCACCTTCAACCAAAAGTCAGCACCACATTTCAACCTCATTCTGGTGCTCTTTTGCAACTTACTAGAGGATACCTTTACTCTTGGGTGTCATCTTCAATTTAACTAACTGGTTTTTTATGCTGCTTTGTCCTGGATATTGATGAAAGTGTTTAATATTTAACATAGTAATAATTCTAACAGAATGTCTCCTAGTACCAAATAAAATACCAGCCCCCACACAGTCACTGATCCTTCTAAATAGTTTGAACTCAAGGATTGGGTACAGGTAAGAGGATAGCAATAGGTTCTGGAAGCTTTGAAATGAAAGAGAATGTCATTTTCTGGTTGTTCTTGGATTTTTTTTTTTTTCATTTAGAGAAGCTCATTCCTTATTAGGCAAGATTTGTTCTTTCAAATTGTGATATGGAAACATAATTGTTTTCTTAGCAGTTTCTGCTAGTTGATTTTTTTTTTTGTTTCCAGGTCTTTGTCTTGCTTGCTTTGTTTTATTTTGGTTTGGTTAGCCTGCTTTTAGTTTTTTGTTATCCTTGAATATCATTTTCCTGAACTACTTATTTTTTAGGCTTTGATTTCCTCCACATTTTCCTGGGTATGACAGTGGTAACTGGCAAATTTCTATTTTTTTCATAAACTTGGAAAACGTGTATGTAAATGACTAAGGCTTATGGATTGGAGTCAAGCCACTGCATTTTGGAATTGAAAAGGATGTTGAAATTTACAAATCAAATGACTCCATTCTAAAACTTATGACATTAAGGTCCGGGGATTAGATGACTTTTCTAAAGCCAATTCATGAGTTAGGCAAAACTATGACCTTGATCTTTTGATTCCTCATTCATGATTCCTTCCACTTCTACCCTATTCCCTAACAATTCAATTGAGGTACTGAATATAATTATAGTACTGACTAAAATCATTGCTCCTAACTATAGCAGATAGACTGATGCTTCCCAAAAAAGTCTATATCCTAATCCCCAGAACATCTGAATATGTTATGTTTATCACAAAGAGGAATTAAAGTTGTAGAGGGAATTAAGATTCCTAATTAGTTGATGTTAAAATAGGGAGATTATTCTGGATTGTCCTATAGGTCCAATGTAATCATGAGTCTTTAAAGTGACAGAGAGAGGGAGAAGAGGTCACAGTGATTGGATGTGAGGACTTTATCTGTTGGGGCCTTGAAGATGGAGAAGACGGTGCATCCAAGGAATGCAGGTGACCTCTAGAAATTAGAAAGGGCAAGGAATTAGATTCTCCCTACAGCTTCCCTGCTGATACCTCTTTTTTAGCCACACCTCATTTTTATCCCAGTGAGACCTGTGTTAAAATTCTAACCTACGCAACTATAAAATAATAAATTCACATTATTTTAAGCCACTAAGTCTGTGGCAACTGACAGCAGCCATAGAAAACTAATATACTCACAAAGCATTGGCAGCTGCTCAATAGAAAATGTTTTTCCATGGAATAACTTTTAAAATCTGCTTTTTTTTTTTTTCCTTTTTAAATACTATCTTAAGATAGTTAAGACCTTAAGAAACTGCTTGTCTTTTGCTAGGAAACAGATCCCATTTAGTATTAATTTATTACACTTTCCAAAAACAGACACAAGTTCATACCCAAGTTCACCAATTGAAGGAGTGACCAGAAGGAAGGTTCAGAGGCTGACCCTGACATACTTCATCAGAATGTCCTTGGGTCAGCCAGAGGAGAAGCAGACTTTTGATGTGTGTCTGCAATTCTCTGTATATCAGATAAAATCATTTCAAGGTTTAACTCTGGATAATAGAAATTTCTGTAAAGTGGTCTCTGCCAGTAATATTCACAGTACTGCAATCAAGGACACGAATGATCATAAACTTTTCTCTCTTCCAAGCATATGTTTCACCCAAAGTAGAAAAGGAAGTGAAGTCACACATATACGCACCTTCAGACTGGCCTCATAATAGAAACTGTCACCTGAACAATTCATTCATCTAAATAGATAGGCCTCAAAGATTTCTGTTACCACTTTCCATATTACCTTGCTACAAAACCGTTATTAGATTACTTAAATCACCCAAAAGAGAAGCAAGTAGAAAATAGATCTTTAAACCGATTCTTCTTTTACCTAGTAAGTCTTTAGCTTGTTAGTATTTCTGAGTTTCCAGACAAGATATTTTTCTCAGAACCTAGAGACAGGCCTCAAGTGACAACTCCTCCCATTTACCCAGGACTGAGTAGCTTCCTGAAACACAGGACTTTTAGTTCTAAATTCAGAAGAGTCCTGAGGAATAAAGACCATAAATAGGCTCCGAGTACACACTGTTGTGTGGAAGCCCAAGTGCCCCAGGTACCAGGGGAAACCAATTTCCAAATTTAAGGCCCACCGATAGTCAAATACCTGAGGTTTGGGCTGAGGAAGATCCTACTTTGCTTGCACTCTCCAGTATCCTTCTCAGTGACTTACTCACTCTTTATGATCAGTAACAGAATCTCCCTGGAGCAGCTTGGGCTGAAGGTCACCAGGAATAGCCAGAGGACAACATGAGAATTATTGGAGAGTGCACTGTGCCATCTACTAAAGCAGTGGCTCTGGGGTTTTATGTGTGTTCACTGGGGGAAAATACACTTGTGTTCATAGGAACACCCACTTTGGTTCATTGCAGGGTACTGATAAGCAACCTGAGAAATGTGCTGGAGGCTCAGTTTGATAGTCGGGTTCGTGCAACAGGACACAGTTATGAGAAGTACAACAAGTGGGAAACGGTATGACGTGCACATGATTTAGACAGACATTACTTTGGGAATTGAACCAAGTATGCCACACTGATCTACAAATGAATCTATTTGGTAGATAGAGGCTTGGACTCAACAAGTCGCCACGGAGAATCCAGACCTCATCTCCCGCAGTGTTATCGGAACCACATTTGAGGGACACGCTATGTACCTCCTCAAGGTAATCATTTTTAACCATGACCTTGCCATGTCTGAGGGCTTTAAATCAATGAATTCTAACACATGAACATCTGTTTCACAGACATGCTTATCCCAAACATTGTTATAACTCTTTCCTGCCTGCATCCCAGAGGGAATCCAATTCTCCAGCTTCTTTGGTCATATGTGGATTTAAAAATCATTATTTTGATTTATTCAAAAGGAAAAATGCAATAAAATAAGAGAAGACCTATAAATTTAACCACATTCCTGTAAGCAATGTAAATGATTATCTACCTTGATGAAATTCTTCTTTCCCAGCTGTCGTTTGCAAATCCATTTGCTAAAGAGGTTCATAAACTTCATGTCTACCAGACAACAATACAAAGCATATCAACAATTTGTTTCTGTCACCTTCTAACACCATTTTTGTCATGTAATTCTAATGAAGGCAATAAAAAGACAAGGAATAAGTGAGAGAGTAGTAAAAATTCTTATAAGATTAGCAGCAATCATGATTACTTCTAATTACTCATCCAGTTGTTTTGGTCATGTCATCTAATAACAGCAGCTGAAAATAACCTCCACGTGAGTACAATTAAGCAAGGTAATCAAGCAACATCTGAAAATATGAGCTTGTCAAGCTTAATAAAAATAATAAATAGCCATATAAGCTTTCAACTCAAACATTGTGAGTCTAGATGCAAGAACATACTGTGTTAGTATTATGTTTTAATTTAATCATGGGATCTAGCTCTTGCTGCTGTTGGGTTTCACTTGTTGAGTCTCAAGCCCAGACGGGTAGTGGAGGTTAAACCCTGAATGTCCTTTAATGAATTATGATTTCCCTTTTCCTTTCATTTGCAATAGGTTGGCAAAGCTGGACAAAATAAGCCTGCCATTTTCATGGACTGTGGTTTCCATGCCAGAGAGTGGATTTCTCCAGCATTTTGCCAGTGGTTTGTGAGAGAGGTCAGTGTGTAGAGTGGTTTTTGGCAAAGAGAAATGTATTTTTTAATTTTCAATTAATTCCTTAAAACCTAGAGAGAATAATAACACAGAAAAAAAATCATAATTACAAATTTGCAATTTTGGAAATTAGTTTAAACTTCCACTAATAGACCTTTATGAAGCAAGATTTTAAACAGAAAATTTATTTATGAGCCAGGTGCAGTGGCTTATGCCTGTAATCCTAGCACTTTGGGAGGTCTAGATGACTGGATTGCTTGGGTCCAGGAGTTGAAGACCAACCTGGGCAACATGGTGAAACTTCGTCTCTACAAAAAAGAAAAATTGTATTTATTTGAATTTCACTCATCTGAACTTTCTCACCCATGGTTTGGTAGAGAGTCCAACAACTAGCTTAGTAGATTGGACATTGAAAAGCTAATGGTTGTGGTTAAACCAATTTGATCATTTTCTCCTGGCTAATAACCATTGTATACTTCAGAAGAAAAGAAAAGAATGGTTAGCAGTCCTTACTCTGAATGATTCTGTTTTTCATTCCTTATCATTCTAATAATAAGACATATGTAAAAGCCTTTTAAAAACAACTTTTAAAATATGCATGAGTCTATACTGATATACATAGATGATTCAATAAATAAAAGAGAGTTGAAGAACAACTCCTTCTTGCAGAATTACAACTAATATATGTACAAAGAATGAGCAAAACATAAACGCATCACTAGAACACCACAGCAATAATCACATCAGGCAAATTTACTGATGAATGTAAAATTAGTGGATAAAAGTTTAGGGAGAAACAGGACCTTTGCACAGTCTCAAAGTTATCTCCTTCCGTAAGTGTATTTATTATAAAGGAAAAACTTAGAGTGGATGAACCTAGAAGAAATTAACTTGACTAAGTGATCAAGGTTAACATCATCAGTAATAAACAAGACATATCAATATCATGTACCTTCAGATATTACACAGTGAAAAGACACATCAACTTTGTGATATTCTTTCTTAAAATAAATGACCTCCCTTTAATCATAAACAAAATTTAATTTTGAAAAATTAGACAAATTCAAAGCCAGAGACATTCTGCAAAATGACCTGACCAGCACTCTTCAACAATGTTAAAGTCATAAAACACAAAAAGACTGAAGACCTGTCACAGATCAGAGGAGACTACAGAGACACAGCAAATAAAGGCAATGTAGGATCCTAGATTGGAACCTAGAATGGAAAAAGGGCATTAGTAGATAAACTTGTGAAATATGAGTAAAGTCTATAGTTTTAGTTTAGTATTGTATTCATTTTAATTTCTTCACTTTAATAATTATACCATGATTATGTAAGATGGTAACATTCAGGAAGCTGGATGAAGGGTATATAGGAACTATTTTTGCAATTCTTCTGTAAGTCTAAAATTATTTCAAAATTAAAAGTTAAAAACATTGAAGTGTGTTAAACATACGACTATTATTATATACAACATAATTTTTTTGTGAAGCGCTTCTGTGTATATTTGTTGTGTAGTCTTGGTTTCTAGATGTTATGTATCGATTGGCATCACTTAGCTTCACAATGTAGCTCACCATCTGCCTTATAGAAGAAGATAATTGGATCTTAGAATTGAATTTTGCCGTTATTTCCAAGTCATAGACCATTAAAAGAACATGATTATATAGCTCCTCTAACCTAAAAAGCACACGCTTTATCATGTAATATTGCAATTAATTTATATATATATATATATATGATTACAAAGAGTATATAAAAACTGTTCACACATAGAAATCTGATCTATTTTAAAGTTTATTCAAGTAAGCCTAGGGAAGGGTTGAATTTAAGCTTAATAAGATGCTGGAACAGAGGTACTGTGACTAAGAGAATATATTAAATGGGCAAGATGTCCTTCATTCATAGACAAGTATCTGCATTACTTAACAAGGGCAACAGGATTGTCCCTTAATGAGAAAGACAACAGTGGAGACTCCCATCACTATGCAGCTTGGAGTGTTGGTGAGAGCCTCCCTAAAATCCATGAGTGTGAGCTCACTGATTATTAGAGGCATTCTCACTACCTTTTTATATTGAACTTTCCCTCTAGTGAGATCATCTACAGAAGGTTTCATAGAAAAGAAATACATTTCTAAATGACGTTATTTGGAACATGCATAGCTATCAACAGACGCCTCTTATTTACTAGAACTAGGTGTTACACTTACACCCTACTAACTTTGAAAAAAGTATTATAGTTGTTATCTTAAAAGAAAGAGTATGTATGTTCTTTAGAAGTCTTTAATTAAGGGTTTCTCATTAAATTAAAAAGTTAAAATAAAAAGAAATAATTGTGTGAGTTATATATGGACACAACAGAAGTATCATAGAAACAGAGAAGAATTAGAAATAACAATTCTAAATAAAAATACAGTAAGTATTGGTAGTAATTTGCTGATGGCTTTTTAAATATTAGTATTGTCCACCCCAATAGGAAATACTGCTTACTAAAGTTAACATTCCTCAGTCTTGGCAAATTTTAGCAGCATCATGCATTCCATGTTTCCATGAAATTTCTCTTCATAATTCACATACAGGCTGTTCGTACCTATGGACGTGAGATCCACATGACAGAGCTTCTTGACAAGTTAGACTTTTATGTCCTCCCTGTGGTCAATGTCGATGGCTATATCTACACCTGGACCAAGGTACATGCACCAATACTGAGAGAGGCTAATGAAATTAAAACCAACCTCTTTCTATTATATTTGTCCTAACCATGTAGTTTACTTTCAGAACCGATTGTGGAGAAAGACTCGCTCCACCCATGCTGGCTCTAGCTGCTTTGGCACAGACCTCAACAGAAATTTTGATGCTGGTTGGTGCAGTAAGTATCTAGCTGGCCATTTTGCATGTATCAGTTGAAAAACATAAGAGAAAAAATAAGAAAACACCACAGTGTCTAAAATAAGAAAAACTGTAGAGTTTAATATTTTAGAGTTTGAACTTTCTAAAAGCACCCCCCCCAAAAAAAACCATTTAATTCATTTGACCAAAATATATTGAGAACTCTGTTGCATTCCCAGCTGTGCTAGATGCTGAAGACATAAAGCTGAACAAACCAGACATAATTCTACTACTCATGGAAGGTATAGTCTAGAGAAGGAAACAGCCATTAAATAAATAATTATTTAAATCAATTGTAATGCAATTAAGAATGATCATAGTAATAATTTTTTCATAGATATTAGTTTGTCCCCTACTTGTTAATTTTCTTAGACTATATTGATCTCATTGTGTAATACTACACAGAGAGACATTGGTGATTCTATGTGCAACTTTTTACCACATTAGTTTAAAAACATACCATCCTAATCTTGTGATTAAGTGGATATTATACTATATAATATATACATTATTGGGACAACTTTAAGGACTCCTTGATAAGGACTCCTAAGAAAACAACTCCCTAATTTGAAAGTTTAAAACATCGCCACAAGAACTTCAGTAGGTAATCCTTGCCATTAACATCATATGTTTTTACAGAAATCGGAGCCTCTCAAAACCCCTGTGATGAAACTTACTGTGGAACTGCTGCAGAGTCGGAAAAGGAGACCAAGGCCCTGGCTGATTTCATCCGCAACAACCTCTCTTCCATCAAGGCATATCTAACAATCCACTCATACTCCCAAATGATGCTCTACCCTTACTCATATGATTACAAACTCACTACCAACAATGTTGAGTTGGTAAGTATCATAATAATAAGTATGGAATTTTACTGTTAGGTTTTTTTTTTTTAATTCTAATTCTGAAAAAAAAAATCATTATAAGAAAACTTTCTAGAAGTCCCTTTATTGATTTTTTGGTAGTAGAAGTGAAAAGCTTATTACAGATTTATAAGGAATCTGGAGTTGGCTAAAAGAAATACAATTTTGATGCAGGAAATTGCTTCCCACATGTGATTTATTGACTAATCTTCAAAATGACAATAGTTCCATTTCCTCTGGCTTCACCACAATACTGACTTACATGATGATTTCAGGTGCATTTGAGGTAATCAACAAAGTTGCTTGATCACATACATTTTTTTTTTTCTATTCAGTTTTGTCAAGCTGCCCTGAGCTGGATTTGACACAGATCCACAGTGCAGCAGAGCATAGCAGATGTCATTAGGAATTTGTCACATTTGGGTGATATCAGGTTTAGTCATGAGACACTAAAATTGTTTATTTCACTTTTTGATTGGTGAGGCTCATAAGTAAATCAATCAATGAACAAATAATATGAGTGAGTCTTTACTACATACAGGGAATAAAGCAAAGAAATGTAAGAATTCCTGACATCAAAAAAACTAGGATTCTTATTGAACAATCAAAAGATAGTCACTTGAGCAGTTAAATAATGAGTTTTATAACTATTCTCATTGAGAAATATCACACATCAATGAATAATTTTTTAAAATAAGCATGTCTGAATCCTTCAAAGAATATTTAATTTATGAAACATCTGGCCACCAGAAGTTGGCACCAATAAACAAAAGAACAAATATAAGATTTAAAGTGATTGAGTTGTACCCCAAAAAAGAAATGTATTCCACTCAAACAATGACATGGATATTTGGCTTACCTAAGTACATAAATTTGAAAACCCAGTAAACATTAAAATTGAAAATCATTGTTTTATGCTTTCAGATTCAGTCTTTCAGAGACCAAATAAAAGATGTAATACTGTAAATATTTTGAGAAGAACAACAACAAAAAAAACCCCAGTCTCCTAGAAAATTGCTAGCTAATAGTTATAGGCATCCTTTTCTTTTAAAAAAATACAATTTTTCAAAAAGCTTTTCATGTTCCTCATCTGTGGCCAAAAAAAAAAAAAAAAAAAAAAACTAGCACCATTAAACATTTCGGTTTTTTACTAAGCTCGGTCTGTACGTGTTCCCAGTGAGTGCTCACAGTCCTGCTGTGCCAGAGATGGATGTGATCCTCATTTCTGTCAAAAATTCTGGCCACCATCAAAGAGGAGGTGGGGATATGTAGTTTGTATAACTTATGTAAATACATTTCAGTTGGGTCATATCAGAAAAGAAAAAGTCAAAGTCATAACCACATAATAATGAGTTAATAATTAAAATATAAAAATTAAAATTATAAAACATAGTAAGGGTAGTAATAACAAATATACCCAGTTTGCTTCAATATCAACTAGTTTTAGACATAAATACTAAAAGACCAACACTAACAGAATAAAGCTTAAAGTGTTCCTGGAAGCTGAGAGCCAAAATTTTCTTATTCAGTACATTTTCTTATTTGAGGAATAAGTTTAAGCCCTTTTAGTGATGAGGCAGTTTTGTTGCCACTGGTTGTATACAATAATAACCAAAATCTGGGCTACCCTAAAAGTCTCCAAATCATCTTTTCCAAAAAAAAAAAAGCAAGTAAGTTCTGCCTTTAGAATGTTATGAATAATTTTTGCTACTTCCTAAGGGAGTTTTCTCCAGTAAAAGAAACAAGTCTCAGAGTTAACAGGTTTAATGGGCCAATTCACATGTGTCCCAAATGGTGTAAAAATGTTCCAACAGAACATGAGTCACTGATACTCTTCCCTAAGAGTCACTTCTTTGTTTAAAATCAAGGAGAGGTAACAGTAAAAGAGATACTATTCAAAATCCTGTCCTCCAAAATTATAGTTAAATTCTAATTGCCAAAAAAGTATAATAAACACAATTCTACCTAAGTAAAATATTCATAATCTATTCTCAAAAGAAGAAAAAGCACAAGCCACAAAATAATCTTATCTTGGGTGTTTGTTTCTACACATATAAAACTAAAAAGTTCAAATAAAAGTACGTGCTATTTTTATCTTTACCAGAGTACAAGACAGGTGACTAAAATGCAAAAACTTAATTTGATATATCACACTCATTGATTTAAAAGTTATTTTAATTTCTAATAATTTTCTCTATGATTAATATTTTCTCTAGTATCTTAAAATAAATATTTAAATGCTATTAGTAAGTGGCATGCCACTTAAGGTGACTGTTATTTGATTATGTGATTCATTTGCTGTCTGAATTCAGTTTAGCACACCAAAGTGACTTTAATCTTTTGAGTAATTAGAGATCCTTCCAATTTTTTCTTGTTTTGTAGAATTCCAGTTTACTTATTTCCAAAGCATATTTTGCTAAAACAAGCTCTTTAACTAACTATAATATAATTACAAATATCTGTATAGACAAAAGACAATATGAGTCTCTCAAAAATATCAATAATAACATTTTTACAGTTTTTATTTGTAATGAGGATTTCAAAGGGAAAAATATAAGTCTTGGTTTAGAAAAGTTAGTTTTCCACCCAAATCTAGTGCTTCCATCTTAGTTCTTACACAGAGAAATGTGACTTTGCTGCAGATAACAAAAGTTAGTAAAACATTAAGAAGATGAATTCCTATATCACACCACATTAAAACTTAAAGGAAACAATGAGCACTCATACAGCGTTCTGCCAAGTCATTCATATACATAAGATTTCTATTTCTCTTTATACCGATAAAAATTATGATTATATTTATAGGAGAAAATATATTTCAAGGAGAATAAGACTAGGCTAAAGGAAATTCTTTTGTGCTTATGTTAGCATTTTCAGCCCAAATTTAGGACATTCTATACGCAGCAGTCCTTTGATTTCTGAATCATGATAGAAATTTATGTGGCTTCATTTCTGAATGGTTTTACATGTAGCTTGCCTAATAATTGCTCATATCATGAGACAACCTTCAGAAGAAAGAAAGGCAGACATAAGAATGCAAAATACCAATGAAGACCAAGGAACAGGAAAAGTTTTATGTGGATTGCAGAGAAAACTAAGAAAAGATATCTTTAGCAGAGCAGTAAAAGGTAATGGAATAACAAGAATATCTTACACATATAATGCCTTCCTATTTGCGAACTGCTTTTATCTGTATTCTATTGTTTAAAGCAAGGATACGAAGTGCACTATGAGCTTCTAATGGCCTCATAAATTGTCCAGTGTCTCAGTGTAGACCTCTTTAATATAAAGTTGCCATTACCTTCAAAGTAAGTTTAAGACTTAGAAGAAAACAACATGAATTTAGATTTCCAAAATTCTAAAGGACAATGAAATATTGAATTCTGTGAACTCGTTATTATCAGAGAAATTAAAACTGGGAGAAAAGCCTCTCAAACCGAGCCATATGGCTGCACTTACGGGGTGGGAAGAAGATCCCAGTCTTTGGTACATCTTCCCCTGCAAAGATGCCTACATGGCACTGTTAATAGTGAAAAATGGGAAGCCAGAGGAATATCCAGCCAAAAAGTATCTTGCCCCTCTCCACAGATTAACACAATGGAAAGCAGAGTGCCCTGCACACAGGTGCCAGTCCAGGGCATGAGTCTTGCACCATTTCTTTGCATTCGAAGCAAAGAATGTTATGGCTAGAAGTCTTAGAAATTCTCCTGTTCTGTTTCTCATTTTCCAGCTAAGACATGGAAGGCTTGGCAAAGTCAACACTAGTAGTCAGGGTAGCCCTAGGTCTAAAGCTACTGGCTTCTGAAGAATCTTCTAGGCTGCCTCAATTTGCAAAGACACACAGACACATACTGACATGGCCACTTCTATGGTAGTACCCCATGTAACTCTTTTGCAGAAGAACATTCATCAGAAAGTCTTTAATCCCAGACAGTACATCATAATTACCTCTGCCTCTGGACATTACCGAAGAGGTACTCTGGTTAGCTGAAATGATTAACTTCTCATGGCCTAGTCTTTATGATTCTGGCACATCCTTTGGAGAGATATATATTCATTAACCAAGAGAAAGATAACAGTAACCAGAAGAAGAAATATGACAGAGTTTCTGAAAAATTGTTAAATGTGATCAAAAGATAGAAAGCTAATTCTAAATTCTAACATCTTCCAGTCCAGTGGTGCCTCAGTCACTGCCTCTTAACTGAAGTTTTAATTAAGGCATCAGTAAGACAGACGTCCATGGCACTCCTCAAACACGTGAGTGTAATGCAAGACTACTATTAAAGACAAACATAAAAATCAGAGGGAAGAAATATTGTGATTAGAAGGCAGACAATTGCAGGACCGTGCACACACCCACGCATATCACCCATCACAGCTGCAATATGTCCCTGCCGAATAGCAAAAGTAGTAAGCCACAATTCTGCTTTGGGCCAGGCTATCAGCAACTCAGGTCAACAGGCCTTTAGGCACAAAACATCTGCTGCAGGAATTTTCTCTGAATTTATACTCTCACTTAAAAGACAAAAATTTTAAATGACAAACATAGAATTTATTTAAGAAACTAGTTACCTATTCACCATTATGCACTTTAAGTGGCTTTTTGGCCTGATGAAATTCTCCTCCTGGACCTGGTCAGTACATGGCTTATCAATTATCAGAAATTTCATGGTCAGACCCGGCAGCTCATGCTTGTAATCCCAGCACTTTGGGAGGCCAAGGCAGGAGGATCACTTGAGTTCATGAGTTCAAGACTACCCTGGCAAACATAGGGAGTCCTCTTCCCTACCAAAAATACAAAAATTTAGCTGGATGTGGTGGCACACTCCTGTAGTTTCAGCTCCTCGAGAGGCTGAGGCATGAGAATTATTTGAACCCGGGAGGCAGAGGTTGCAGTGAGGCAAGATCATGCTACTACACTCCAACCTGGATGACAGAGCAAGACCCTGTCTATTAAGTGCTCATTATAAATTATGTTT